ACTTTATTTTGGGGTTGTGACTCAGTGCTGGGGCTCTTGCCTAGAATGTTTGAGGCACTGGGTTCAATGCTCAGCACTACATAAAAATAAATAAATAAAATTAAGGTATTGTGATCCATCTACAACTAAAAAAAAAAATTTTTTTTTGAAAAAAGTAAAAGAAGTATCCATAGACAAGATGAGTCTTATAAAACTGCCATCTTGATGATTTGAAAATATTTGATGAAGTAAAATACTTAAGAGTAAAAATAATTGATGATACTCTTGCCTTCAGCAAAGAATGCTTAATTCTAGGTGTTGCCGGTTAAGGTTGACATTAACAAGTAATTAAATTGATCAACATCTTGGATTACATGTCAGTAAGATAATAAAATTGAAATTAGTGTTATACCATCTTTTGTCTTAATTTTGTGGTCAGAAAACCAGAGAGAATCTTCAGCGGATCATTGGCACAGTGCCTGGCACTGAAAAGCTTTTTTTTTTTTTTTTTTTTAATTAACACTTCTTGACTGAGTGAAGTAAATGCAGATTAACTGATTCTAAAGTCACAGTTCTTCCCTGAACTGGCTTGTTGGCATTTTGCATCTTCATTTGTGAAGTTAACAGGCCATCATCTTCCTGTTGCTAAGAGTATAAAAGATTATGTGGGCCATGCATTGGGGGTACATGCCTGTAATGTTAGCGGCTCCAGAAGCTGAGGCAAGAGGATTGCAAATTTAAAGTCAGCCTCGAAACTTTGTGAGGCCCTGTCTCAAAAAACAAAAAAGGGCTGAGGTTGTAGTCATGCTAAAGTGCCCCTGGTATGCTCCCCTACCCCCCAAAAAAGATTTTGTGTAAAAGCTCATATTAATATTCCTGTACTTGTAGTTAGAACTAATAAACTTTTGTAAATGTCAGATTAACTTCATGTACTTTCCCATAACATTAGTTTGAGAAGTAGGTGTTTCTTAGGCCTTAACTACTGGTCTGCCTTAATTAAAAGTATTAGGAAAAGCCCTAATTTCTACCACAGGTAGTGACAGAGATTCTATTTTTGTTTTTTTAACCTTATTCTAATACCATAGAGTCCAGTTACTTAAAGATGTTATCAAATACCAAAAGGTTATTCACCATGAGATTAATTTGCCAAATTGTATTGAGGTCCATTTCATTTTCAAATATTTTAAATGTTTGGGAAAATAATTTTGTAGGGTAAAATTATAACCTGTAGTTTACCAATCACCTCATTTACTTATTCCCTGGGAGATTGTGCATAGAATAAGAAGTATGTACCAATGGTAATCTCTCTTTTTTTTTGGTACCAGCACTGAACTCAGTGGCACTTAACCACTGAGCCACATTCCCAGCTCTTTTCAAAAAAATTTTTTTTTATTCTGAGAACAGGATCTTACCAAGTTCCTTAAGGCTTTACTAAGTTGTTGAAGCTGGCTGCTTTGAACTTGCAGTCCTCCTGTGGCAGTCTCTAAGTCACCAGGATTACAGGTGTGCCCTACAGCATCCAGCCAAAACTATACATTTTTTAAAAAATATATAGTCTTTTATGTACATTTATTAATAATTATGTGTACATCTTACTTTTAAACTAGAATATTCCTACAAACAAACATATCCCATATTCTTTTACTCCAAATAGTTTTGGAGCAGGGGATATTGTTTGTTGTTTTCGCAGCAAGGAGAACCTTTAAGAATGCCATGAAATACTTTTTGACTTAAAGAAAAATAGCTTGGCTAGGAGTGGTGGCACACACCTGAAATGCGAGCTATTATGAATGCAGAGACAGGAGAATAGCAAGTTCAAGGACAGCCTGAGCAACTTAGTGAGACCTTGTCTCAAAGTAAAATTTAAAAAGGGATCAGATATATAGCCCAGTGGCAGAGTGCTTAGCATGTGTTTAATTTCCAGTACCGCCAACATAAAACAAAGAAAAACAGCCCACCAAGAACTTATGAATAAGAAAACTTTGAAGGATATTGAACTAAAATGCTATTTTTAGTTCTTTATACGTATGTCTTAATATCCAAGGAAAAGCCTTAGCTTTATAATCATAGATGTTTATTTTTAAATTATTCTTTTGAGTATGGTGAATTATTAAAATTAATCATGTATTAGATGTGTGTGTGTGTATTTGTGTATATGTATAAAAACCTCCTTTTTATTTACATGCACAACCTCCTAAATAGATTGCCAATTTTTAAAGAATAAACTCAAAGTGTTTTATTTACTTCATTTGTTTATGTGTTTATGATGCTTAAGAATTTTTTTAAAAGTGATGATAGCAACCATAGTACAAAATATACAAGTAATAGTTATTGACCTTATTTTAGTTTTAAGTATGAAGTAGTTTATTCTTAAGTGTCTCCTCAGATGATATCAGAAAACATACCTGGTAGACTTTTATGAATCTCTTCATTTGAACTAAACAACTTTTTACTTGGATAAAAGAAAAAGGAATTTGGCTGAAGGGGAGTTTGGTGAACCAATAGAACCTAATCTTTAGCTTTAGATGCAGTTATTTAGATAATGAAAGAGGTCAAGCTATTATAAAATGTTTTGGTGATTTAATTGAAAATAATATGTACCAGGAAAGACTGCCAGTGACTTAGAGAAAAATGTCACAGTTACTACAATAAATATATGAAATAATAAATTTTGGATTGCTGTGGCTGATATTGATAAATACTGAGAAAGTAGCAGGATCAGTGAAAAAGCATTGTTCTGTTGTTTTCAATGTAGGATTTAATGAGAAAAGACAGAAGATGGAAAAGGGGATGATTTTTGAAGGAACACAATAGAATCTATTACAGAAGTGAAATAGGTACCCCTAAAAATAGAAGCTACTGCTGACTAAGCCCTAAGGAAAAGAGGATGGGTAGTGACTAAAGGTTTATTATGGAGAAGTTAAGGAAGCATTAGTAAAATAAACTTAAATTCTTTCAATAATGTCTTTTTTCACAAACATAAAAGAAGGAAATTGTTTTTAATTTACAAATTCACTAATACAGGACAAGATAAGTGTTCAGTATTTAACCAAAGTTTAGTTCGAAGCAGGTTTTATGGGAAATATTTTTGAGAAGAGAAATAAATAAAATTAGTTGAGTGATGATGAATATCACTTGATAATGGAGGGTATTAACTTAGAGATAGACTAGACTTCCCTGAGCATAGTTTGGCAAGTTTGAAATAGCTGTTGACAAAGTCTCAAGGCAGAGAATTAGCAAGCTGAGCAGGTGAAAAGACAAGAGGTCACCAATACCACTACTACTATTACTAGTACCAATAATATCAATAATGATTGTGGTGACAGTATCTCTCTTTTATTTATGACCTACTATATGTCAAAGAGCTTTACATACATCAAGTTTGTCCTCAAAAGCACCCCCAAAACTAGATTCACAATAAGTAAAAAATTTGAGAGAAATGTTTTTTGCCCAGAGATCTACTTATTAAACCCATCAAAACAAGCATATCCACATTGTATATGTCATAAATTGTGTACTTATTATAACAGTTTTTCAGCAGAGGGCAGCAAAGTATTCTAAAGGAGAGCATTGTTTTATAGAAACCATACTAACCAAGAGTGGCAAGCAGTATATAACATTGTATCAGTTGCAATTTTGTTTCAACACACACACATATATACAGAAAAGGCTTAAAAATGTTATTCATTATTAAGTATTATGTACTCTACATAATTGTATGTGCTGTACTTTATATATAAAAGTTTATTTACACCACTATCACAACAAACATTTCAGCAATGTACTGGGGTACAATATTAAGATGGCTACAAGTACATTAGGTGATAGGAATTTTTCAGCTCCATTACAATCTTATGAGACTATTGTCATACAGGTTTTCATTGTCCAAAATATTGCTGTTTATTTCATGGCTGTATTTCAGTTAATGGTTCAATAGTATTTAGGTAAAGTCTTAGCACAATAAGGCAAGTCTCCAGAATAAAGATCCAATCATTTATTTCATATTAATGAATAGTATTGTAAAGTACTTTAAATAAAAGTAACGCCAAAACTTAAAATGCATATCCTGATTTTAATTTCACGTAAACTTTTCTTAGGTGTTTATATAGATGAATGTGAACAGAAATGAAATAGATTATTATAATGATTTATTAACATTCTCTATAATTGAGTAATTATTTTTTTATTAAAATTTATTTTTAAGTGTCATTCCCTGAAGGAATATTAATTTGGATATATGTTGCACATTAAAAATTGGTTCAAATATAGGCATGTGTATATGAAGGCCATAAAATATCACATCCTAAAAGATATATGCCACAGACTCGATAAAGATAATTACTGTTAAATACCCAAGTTAGTAATTATTAACTGAAATCTTGTAATGCATTTGTTGCTGTCTAGATTCTAGTGATGTTTCTCAGTGCCATGTATATAAAAGAGAATAGTATCTGATTTCATTTCAGTGTTATGTCCTTTGCCACTTACCCACTCAGACATATATTGTTAAGCCTTCAAAATGAACAGGATATGATGTTGGGGAAATAAAAGATGTGACTTCTTAAACATGAATAGACATATAAAATATGAACTCAGCTAAAAAGCCAGACTGGCCAAAATTTATTGAATTTTAAATGTTGTATTAGATATGCTGAAACTATTATGTAATATGAAATCTAGTAAATGAGCAATTTCTTAAAGTACAATTAAGTGTGATATTTGTTTATAAGATACTGTTCTATTGTGTTTTAAAATATTTCATCTGACTGTCATTAAAGATAGAGAATTAGGAAAGAAGGATATTGAACTTAAACCAAATAACTAAAATATTTATTATAGTCGAATGCTTCATCCTAGAGAAATTTTCAAAATACACTTTAGGTGAAATGAATTAGAGATTGCTTACTCTATTTTGCTATATATTGATCTATAACTTGTATTAAGGATAGCAAGTTTTCTATTTTAAAGAATATATCCAAGTGTAAGAAAGTTTTTGTTTGTTTTGTTTTTTGTTTTTTTAGGTGGTTTCAAACACCCTCACAGGTTTTCTACCACGCAGCTACTGAACATGGAGGCAAAGATGTATATCCAGGGCAGTGTCTTTGGGAAGGTTGTGAGCCTTTTCAGCGACAGAGATTTTCCTTTATAACCCACTTACAGGTATACTTTTTAAATATTATTTGCTTAGTAACTCATCTGGTTCCATCAAAAATCTTTATATTCTTTTCCTTTCTTTTTTCACAAAGGATAAGCACTGTTCAAAGGATGCCCTACTTGCAGGATTAAAACAAGATGAGCCAGGACAAGCAGGAAATCAAAAATCTTCTACCAAGTAAGGAAAATTATTTTTTTTCCTTTTACATATAAAAAAAATACTTGGAAACTAGGCATAACACAAGAATAATAAAAAGCCATTTAGCCTGTTGGGAAACCTGAAACCTGGGTACTAGTCCAGCTCTACTACTATTCAGCTGGGAGACACTGTTCAAATTGCTTATATTCTGTAGGCATCATTTTCCATATTGGCTAGACTGCATGGTCTCTACATTACTTTGTAGTTTCAACATTTTGATTCAACTTTGTAGAGAAGTCATTGGAACAAAATATGTGGGAAGTGCTTTCTAAATTGGAAGTACTACATGTGATTATTTTTTAAGAGAATAAATGTATTTAATAATAGCAAAGGAATTTCTTCATATTTGTATATATAGAGACATGCATACTTACTGGTTTACAATCTAAAGATTGCTTTCACATTATATTATTTAAAATTCATAATTAGTTTATATAACAACTATCAGAAAATATCCCCCCTTTACAGATGTGGAAAGAATATTAAAAGTCATGCACTAGTTATAATGTCAGAAACAGTTTCCTTATGTATCAGTTAGTGTTCTTTGCAGGGCTGCCTCATAGACACAACAGATAGTGATGTAGTTTGGGCTGGGAATGTAGTTCAGTGGCAGAGCAAGACAGTGATGCAGTTTATCTGCTTGGCCAAAGAAATCTACAGTACCTTGAATCTGATTTCATATATATAAAACTTTCTGTCATCCCTCCATTTTATGTCTTTCATGAAGAACTATCTTGAGCTGGGCTTATGTCTGTAATTGCAGATTTTCAGGAGGCTGTGGCAGGAGGAAAACAAGTTCAAGGCCAGCTTCTACAACATAGCAGGATCTTATCTCAGAGTAAAAAGGACTGGAGTTATAATTCAGTGGTAGAGCACACTAAGTTCAGTCCCCTGTACTGTGGGAGTGGGGGGAAAGGAAGGGGTCGACAGAAATTATTAAATAATAATTATGTAAGAAAGTAATTGTCCAAAATGTAGTGTTTAGCATAGTTCATATTATATTAAGCTATATTTTCCTGAATGACCTATGCCATTACATTCTTAGGTAATACTGTTTCACTGTTAGATGCTATTTAAAAGTAATTTACAATGCAAATTTTAAACTATTTTCTTAACATTCAAAAATGGGAACTCTGCAATCTACTATTTTATTACTGTATTGTATTTATTGTTATTGCCTGCTTACCCAAAACAGTAATTTTAAAGGTGGACCATAACGAAGCATCTGTTATTCACTTTAAAATTGATAGATTAGAGCCAGATGAAGTGTGGCACAGGCCTGTAATCCCCCAGTGACTGGGGAGGCTGGGGCAGAAGGAACTCAAATTCAAGGTCAGCCTCAGCAATTTAGTGAGGCCCTAAGCAAGAACCTGTCTCAAAAGAAAAAAATTAAAAGGGACTAGGAATGTAGCTTCCAGTGCCCCTGGTTAAATTCCCAGTGTGGGGAAGATGGGGAATCAATAGATTGGAAAATAAAAGACCTGAAATTTTACCTCAATACTAAGGTTCTTTGCCTAGACTGACATAAACATCATATTAGTGCTGGACCTTTTATTCACCTTGTATCAGAATTTCAGAGTAACACCTCATGAGGTTGGCAATGTGGTTACCATTCTGTCTGCAGAATTCAGTTAACAGTTTCCATCTCTGTGTGTCTGATCAATTTAGGCAACCAGCTGTAGGGGGCACAAGCTCAACTCCTAGAGCACAAAAGGCCATTGTGAACCATCCCAGTGCTGCACTCATGGCTCTCAGGAGAGGATCAAGAAACCTTGTCTTTCGAGATTTTACAGTAAGCCTTCCTTGAAAACTTTATCTGCGAAGGTATGAGCCCCATATGAGTTTGATCTTTATTGTAATTTTTTTTTCTTATATTCTCCTTTCCTTTTTAGGATGAAAAAGAGGGACCAATAACTAAACACATCCGACTAACAGCTGCCTTAATATTAAAAAATATTGGTAAATACTCAGAATGTGGTCGCAGGTGAGTAATTTATTTTCCCTAGCAACAGTGAGTTTAATTTTACTTTTACATATATGTTCATAAAATGAGGTATCTCTTTTACTTACTGTTTTTCTCAGTTTTGTGAATGTCCAAAAGTTTATGCTATCAGGATCTCTCAAAAGCCAAAATTAGGGGTTGGGGTTGTAGCTCAGTGGTAGAGCAATTGCCTGGCACTTGTAAGGCACTGGGTTCAATCCTCAGCATCACATAAAAATAAATTAACTAAACAAAGGTATTGTGTCCATCTCAAAAAAAAAAAAAAAAAAAAAAAAAGCCAAAAATAAATAGAAATTGAAAGAACCAGAAGGTAGTCGTTTAACTTGTTTTATTAAGCTAATTTCTTACTAGCCAGAGAGCTACTTTTAGAACAAAAATAGCTTTATTAAAGAGGAAACTTGAGAGTTTATTGGGGGAGAAAAACTAACCATTTGAAATGATGTGGTGTCATAATGAAATTTAGTTTGAAAATTGGCATTTTAATGAACTCATCAAAGTCATAGATGCTACTAAGAATCATTTCTGACAGACTTAAGAGAATAATCAGGATTTTGTAGCTCTATAGAAACTTGGTTTAACTCTAAAGAGAACAAATGTGGAATGTTTTGTATATACTATAATGTGTCTCCCTTAAAGGAACTTTTCTCATATTCCTTCTGCATCTTCAACTGAGCATTCTCAGGCTCCTTTCATTTCATTTCTAAAATGAATAAGAAAAATTCTTTTGCTTTTTTGGGCAATACTGGGGATAAAACTCAGGGCCTATTGCATGCTGGGATAGAAAACAAAACTTAATAATTAAGCAAAGGTTTTCAGAAAAAGAAGAAATATAAAGGTTTAAAAACCATGAGAATGCCAAAGTCTTCCTGATTCATTCATAATTATTTCTTTTTAGTTTTCTCACTTTATTTCCTTCCATACCCCTCTATTTGCTTCATAACCTACATTCCTCCCCACCCTCCCACCCTTGTACTGGGGATGGAACCCAGAGGCGTTTACCATTGAGCTAGTTCTCAGTACCCCCTACCCCCATTTTTAAATTTTTTTCTTTTTTTTTCTTTTGAGACATAATCTTACTAAGTTTCTTAAGGCCTTGCTTAGTTGCTGAGATTACAGACATGCAGTGTGCATCATCAGGCCTGATTTTCATTGTCTACATTTCAACCAGGCCACACCACTTGCAAGTTCCTGAGCACACTAGGCTCTTTCATTTCACACTTTTAAACTTGTTCCAGTGATCCAACCATTTTCTCTGCCTAGAATGCCCTTGTCCAAGAGAGAATGCTCAATGTCCAAGTCATCATTCTCAGTTTGTATTTGAACTTTTGTGTTTTCCGTAATTGCTTCTTTTTTTATTAATATATATATTTTTAGTTGTCAATAGATCTTTTTTGTTTTATTTGTTTATTTATATGCAGTGCTGAGGATCCAACCCAGGGCCTCTCACATGCCAGGCAAGTGCTCTACCACTGAGCCACAGCTGCAGCCCATCCACAAGTGTTTCTTTAGGTTTTTTTCATTCTAAATTTAGCAAAGTCTTCATCCCTCCCTTTTTTTCCCTTCTATTTTCTTACATCCAGAATTTTTTATTTTTGTGGGTTAGGGTTTTTTTATTATTCTTTTTAGTTATACATGAGTACAATGTATTTTGACGTATCTTACATACATGAAGCATAACTTCCCATTTTTGTGGTTGTACTCTAGTAGAATGAATTAAACATAACTTTCCTATGTTCTTATATATATGAGTACACGACCAGACTAGTGTAACTCCACATCATGTACAGAAACCAAGTCACTGGAGTGTGCCACTGTACCCAGCCAGACATTTGATATAAATCCCCCCTCCCTTCCCTTCATTTCCCTTCTGTTCTTCCCTACCCTTCCCCATTATTGTGAGTTAGCATTCATATATCAGAGAGAACATTTGGCCTTTGTTTTGGGGGATTGGCTTTTTTCACTTAATGCAATATTCTTCAGCTTCATCCATTTACTAGCAAATGCCATAATTTCATTCTTCTTTATTTCTGAGTAATATTCCATTCCATATATACTATATGTATAGTATATATATTATATTTTATTTATCCATCTTTTGAAGGGCACCAAGGTTGGTTCTATAGCTTAGCTATTGTGAATTGAGCTTCTATAATCATTGATGTGGCTGTGTCACTATAGTATATTGATTTTAAGTCTTTTGGGTATATGCCAAGGAATAGGAAAACAGGGTCAAATGGTGGTTCCATTCCAAGTTTTCTGAGGAAATCTCCATACTGCTTTCCAAAGTGGTTGCACCAACTTGCAGTCCTACCAGCAGTGTATGAGAGTGCCCTTTTCCCCACATCCTCACCAATATTCATTGTTACTTCTATTCTTTGTAATTGCCATTCTGACTAGAGTGAAATGAAATCTCAGTGTAGTTTGAATTTGCTTGCTAGAGATCTTGGACATTTTTTCATATATTTGTTGACTGATGGGATTTCTTCTGTGAAGTGCCTGTTTAGTTCCTTTGACTATTTATTGATTGGATTGTTTGGGGTTTTTTGGTGTTGAGTTTTTTGAGTTCTTTATATATCCTGGGAATTAATTTTCTGAGGCACATGTGGCAAATATTTTCTCCCATGCTGTAAGTTCTCTTTTCACGCTATAGTTTCCTTTGCTGTGAAGCAGCTTTTCAGTTTTATACCATCCCATTTATTGATTCTTGATTTTACTTCTTGTGCTTTAGTAGTCTTGTTGAGAAATTCGGTTCCTAAGCTGACATGATGGAACATGCAGAATTTTTTTAATGATGGCATCAAGATTCTTGGATAATCTCATTGCTGACTGACTTGTTTTTCAGACATTTTGTTTTGGTTTTGGTACTGGGGATTGAACAGAGTCATGATTTATCACTGAGCTACGTCTCCAGCCCTTTTTATTTTTTATTTTGAAACAGGGTCTTGCTAAGTTGCTTAGGGCCTCACTAAATTGCTGAGGCTGGCCTCAAACTTTCCATCATCCTGCTTCAGCCTCCCCAGTCACTAGATTGCAAGCATGTACCACTGTACCCAGACAGACGTTTAATATAAAGTTTTCACACTTATAAGTCCAACTGGAAATAATTTTGCTGTCAAAATCATGCCTATCACTGAGCTTTAATGTTAACATTACTATACTTGCCTTGTCATGCATCTGTTCATATATCTATCCATTCCTCCCGTTTCTGGCTGGTTCTTAACACTTTTCTGCTCAAATCTCAGCATCACTTTTGCTAGCTGATGCTCACTTTTATAACCTCTGATCTTTATGTATACAACCACATCAATATTGTGACCTTCTAGGTTAAAAAAAAATATTTGGGTAATCTAGCATTCAGGTTATTATTAAACTAGACGTGGCCTGGTTTCACTTAATGAAGAGAAAGAAACTTTAATCATGCCTATAGTATTATTTTCAAGTCACCTCTTAAAAGCACCCTTTTTGTTCCTTGCC